GATCAAGGGAGTTGATGGGGGGTGGCTGTTTCCGCCGAAAGTTGTGGGGGACGATGGTGTAGAAGCGGGAGGAGAGCTCCTCCAGGCGAGAGGCATCGGGGGGCTGCTCCTGCAGCGCTGCCTCCAGCTCCTCCAGTGCCTCAAAGCCCCTCGCGATCTGCTGCTTGCTCAGCTTCCCCAGCGGCATCTTCTTCACATCTGGAGGGTGTTGGGGAGGGCACAGGTGATCCCATCCACCCCACTGGCCTCACAAGAACCTCCAAGCATCACCACGGGCACATGCAGGCACTCGGCACAGCGTATCCACAGTCCCACCAGGTGCCGGGATGGCAGAGGGGATGCTCTAAAATCCATCAGCACCTCTGCCCCACTCACCCCTCCACCTGCACACCCCAGCTGAAGCCCCCAGACCCAGCACATGCCATCCATCACCTCCTACCGATATTCATGGTCTGCATGGCATCCCGGAACATGTCACTGCTGAAGATGAGGGACACCAGCTCCTGTGTGTCCTTGTCCAAGGTGCAGGGCAGCACCCGCTGCTTGCAGACCTTATTCCCATCCACATCATCCACCTGCAGATCCCCAGCATCACCTGTGAGCCTGTGAGAGGCTGTGGGAGCTGCCTGATGGGGAGAGCCCAGCCCCTGGACAGCAAAGCAATAGGCAGGTGCTGCCTCCATTTTCCATGACTGATTCCACCCAGAAGCCCATGGTTCTCATTTGGGATGCCCTCCCACTCCATTTCAACCCATTAGCCCTAAATCTCTGCCTGCAGACTGTTTCAGCACGCACCCAGACCCTCCTCGGAACCCACCACATCCTGCTGACCCCCTTGGATGTCCTGTAGGACACCTGTACTGGTGTCCAGTAGCCCAGTAGTGGGATATGAGGACTATCCCACTGTGGTGACACCCTAGCTGCCCGTTGTACTCACCTTGAGGGTAACCTCCAGCTCCTGCCCATCCCCTGGCTGCACCTCGATGAGTGTGTACTTCCCTGGCTGGGCAACGAAGTTTTCCTTTGAGGCCCAGCTGTTCTTGGTCTTCTCCCGAAACTTCTTCTCAAAGTCCTTCTTGGCAGCCTCCAGGGAGGCGCAGGGCATGAGCTTGGACTGGCCCACCTCCCCCTGACAGTGGATAGCAGTGCTCAGG